TGAGTGTGTTTTTCACAGCGGAGGCTGGCCTGACCGCAGTTGTTCATCACTGACTGTTTCTGTTAAATACCTGTAACTACATTATTATCATTCAGCTGAAGAAAGTTGTCTATTGCATTTTTCTTGCGCCTCTTCCCAACATGTGAAAAAAAGGCTAATTAAAAACCTCTGCGTCTCAAGGAGTGAGTGAGTGAGTGTGTGAGAGAGAGAGAGAGAGAGAAATTAAATATAGTTGCTTCATTCTTTGAATGCACTTCTAGAAAACATGACATCTCTCTAACTGGAAAATAACTGAAGAGTTTCCTCGGCCTGTGTCTGGATGTGGAGTCATTTCGAAGTGATTTTGTTTGTCTTCTTGAGACTCTTTAAACATCATGTTGACCATGAGCTGCTCTTGACCATAAGCTTTTAGAAATGTTCACTTAGTCACGGTCAGACGCGCTGGCTGTCTTTCATTCTCACTGAGGCAGGAGACGCGTGAGGGTCCCCGATGGATCCATATCTGTCCTCAAGACCACCGCAAGAGAAGAGAGTGAGACTAAAGACTCAGAAGAAAACATTACAACACAAAAATGGACAACTCTATCTACAGTGCTAACCAGTGGTGTGCAGGGGCTAAGCGACGTTGCTAGGGCACAATCGCGGTCCGGGGGCACAGACCGGACTGAAAGAGCACTTTAGCGTCAGCAATTAAAGGGGCAGGGGCTCGAGCCCCCCTGTGCACGCCACTGGTGCTAACTGTAAAGGGGTTTATCATCATGAATCTGCCCTGGTCAAACTCACAGATTTGAACTTTATTAATTATATCTTGATATTTACACAAAGAGCTAAAGTTAGTCAGAGTGAGAGACTGACAGTTCACTTACATGAGGACGTCAAGTCCTCTTTTTCATATTTTAACCATCTTTTGAAGTGTTGACGTAATCAAACATGATTTGTGTAATTTGATCAAACAGGATGAATGTTTTAGAAAGACACAAACCAACTTGCACCACAAAACATCCCAGAATTCACCAAATCCACTGAAAATTCTTACTGAAAACACCTGAAAAGAATATTAAGGTTTGACATGTTACCATAGCAACAGTATTTAAGATATCAAGTTTTACATCTGCCATGTTTTTACATTATTCTAATGAAATTTTAAGCAAATGGAGTATAAATAAGAGTCTGTTTTCAAAGCATTTTAAAAATGGCACACTTCCTGCTGCCAGTTGGTCACAATAGTCACTAATAGTCACATCTATGTGATCGGCTTCATACAACGGACAACATTTTGGAAACTATCCAAGTGTCCGCTGTTGCTTATATTAGACTTTATAAAACTACATATCAAGCAATCATGACTTTGCTAAGTCAGCAGCTACCAGAGAACAGATGTAACACGTTTCAATATTTAATTTATATTATCTGGTTTTGCCTTACATTAATTGCTTGCCTTTTTAGTAAGTGATATGAAGCAGACGCGTAATGAAACATTTATTCGAGTTGTAATTGTTATTGCTTACTTCTAGAGATTTCAGTGATACATGACATGGTGAAAAATTACTGAATGAATAATACTGAAAGTAGGTTAAGATGAATTTTAAAAGTGTGCCCCTAAAAGCACAAGTGGCCCCTGCCTGGTGCCCCCAGTTACTGTGGTCTAGATCTGCCACTGTTAGAAACACGCTCAGACCTACAAGCATGTTCTTCAGCTCACGCTAAGAGTCCGTGACGGGGAATGAGTCGAGGGTCAGGTGCTGTGTTAAACAGCTGCTCAGACACAGATACTAATGGATTTCTCCCTGCGGCTGCGACGGGGGTCACCGCAGGGGTCGCCGACTGTTTGCAGCTTTTACAGGATGCTACAATCGCCACCAGAATTCAGAACAGAGCCACGTGTAGTCAACAGCTAAGATTTGATCACTGTTTTTATGTATAATTACAACTAGTTTAATTTCTGGGTAAGACACTAGATAAATCAGTTAAATCCATGAGGTAAAATGACAGAACTGAGTTAAACCAAGAGTCGAACTCCCTGCTCTTAGTTTGAAAGTGATGGATGTGGGCAAATGTGCCATTATTTGCTCCTGTTTTCCACAGCAGTGCTTCAGCATGATGACAACTGCTGCTTTATTGTCCTGAGGTTTGACGACATTGACGTTAGGACAAGTACAGCAAACAACTGACTTGTATTTTAAACACATCTGTCTGTGGAAACCTAATCACATAAAACATGCTGGAAATACACAACCGTTAACTAAAGCTTCATGTAATGTTTAGATGGAGTCAGCATGTGTGTGATTTAGTGTGAGGAAAAACTGCTCTCGACAAGAAACTTCCAGGCAGGTGTGTTGGAGCCAAACACTGCAGGACGTCGGCCCCTGATCTGTGGGACCTGTATGTGTATATGGACCCTGTCCCAAATGGCACACTTCATGTGCACTTGCGGTCTTGAGAACTCACAATGGCCACCGCGTACATGTGTCCGTTAAGTCCATGAGACTGTAGGGTGTCC